ATAGAAGTATTCCTTCGCGCTAAGGTTCAATGCGTTACAAATTTCGTTTCTGTATATGAGTATATCTATCTGTTGTATGCTATCAGTTTGTATGCTATCAGTCAGTACGTGTATCTATGTTTTTTGAAAGAATGAAGTATGCACCTCGCAAGGATCGCGATGAGATTCGTCTCTTGGCTTCTTGTTTTAAGTAAGAATCTTTATCGCTGAAAGATTGCATGTAAAATACATTAATTTGCAAGTTCTCTCCATTAGACTGTACATACGAGGGCGTTTCGACGTGGTCGGGTTTACGAATTAAAAGTGATTAGTGATGAACGGTATTAGAGATTCGTTCTCTCGCAAAGACTATTTATAATCCATTATGATGATACGAGCACGTTATGAAGGAGGAGACGTTGTAAAACAATTAGTACAATTTAAAAGAGCACGTCGGACAAGCATTGCGAAGGTTCTTGCTAATTAATGAGTATGTCAGATATTTTAAGTCTGAAAGTGAAAACTTCTTTCATTGTATTATAGAGGATAAAGGTTGCGATATAACGGTCGCCATGAGCTCCCACTTATGCGAACTATTAATAGTGAAATGCGTCGACTATTATCGAAGACGTAAGCAGTTCATCGATATTAAACAAAAGATTTTCTTTTTTTAAAAGTATGACGTAATTTACTCGACGTTATGTAATGTTAGAAATAGTGTGCAATGTGCGCATTATTTTAGAATGGAAATATTGGAATTTTGTAATAATAAGTAATATAGTTTTGTATGTTTATTGCTTTTAATGTATTTTACATGTTACTGTGTATACGTTATCTACAATTATAAGGATATATATCAGTGCTTTTGTATTTTTTCATTTTCGATTATTAAACTTATTTATTTATTGTTGCAAAATGTTACATGAAGGAGTTAAATGAAAATGTCAAATCACGATATCGATATTTATATATGTGTATATATATTTTAATTTATAGATATATGTAAATTAAAATATACAAATTAAAATAAAGACAAATTGAATTAAAATTTTAAACTTAAAATTTTAGATTGCATTCTCAGTTTAACAAGGAAAGTGACCGAAAAATTTATATAATACAAAAAGTATGAACATTAGCATGTTCGATAAATAAAGGCTGCAATTTAAAAAAAATTTTAATTAGATTGATTAATGTTAATGTTTTTTACGATGTTATCGAAACAACGTGACGTGGCGACCGTTTAACAAATTAGTTTTTAGATATTGTAATGAAAGTCTTTTCATGTGGAAAATTCATCGAGTCATTCACACGTAAGTTGTCAAGATCGTTGATACAATACGATCTAACTGTTATAAACAGTTACAAAAAGAAATAAAGAAGCAAAACAAATTGATAAACACGGCACATAGTTCACGTGGTTTGCAAGCGATAAATTTACCGTGATGATTGCAAACGCTCAGTACACTATTCCAAGTAAATAAACGCTTGTCGAATAGTCTATTGCGTAACATACGATATTGTGTTAATTGTGTATAATTCCAAGAATGTAATATTAAATGTAACTCAATGTATATTACGTGACTTTACGTCAGACGCTGTATAAATATTTCTAAACATACAAATATATTATAAAATATTTTCCCGAAAATCTCTCTTATTTCTCCGTTTCTGCGCGATCTTTCTCCGACATTATAAAACTTTGCATATAATTTTAAGTTATTATATTTATTTATTTTTTATTACAATGTAACAGTTAAGATAATAATTAAAACAAGTTTTTATTATGATTTTTAAAATTAAATTTTTAATATTTATATATTGAAAATCAAAATATCCCTTAATCATCTTTAATCATTGAATTTATGCGAATATGCTTGTCGAAATCAGTTATAATTAATACTTATGCTTGTGATATTGATGAAACTTTATAGAAATCTCGCTGCGTTTCTTGAGAGTAAAATTTTTGGATTTCTTGTTACTTGTAGACTGTAATCGCCATTAACGTATATCTCATTGTTACAATACAAACATAAAGTAGTCAACAGAGAAAGGAAATAATTTCGAAATTATTATACTTACTTCTATAGATGTGTTCGTGATTATTGTGTTCGCAGTAAATATGATACTTTTCTCAAGCGACAATTCGGGATAATTCTTAGGAATCGTAAATACTAATTTCTTCTTAGGCATAAAATTCGATTTGTCGGTTTTCATTTGTTCTACAAAAACAAATATGAAAACCAAAAATGCAAAAATGCAACAACCAATGGAAGAGTATTCTGACAAGAATGATATGCTAAAGAAATCTTTGCATTGATTGATTACATCAATTGATTAAATGGACTTAATTAGAATTATATTGGAACGTACTTGCGCAACCTGAACCATTCTTGCGTCGTTTGACTTTATTTCCATTATTAGAAATTATTTCATCATATATCGGCATCGATATCGTTTCAAGTTTGTACGAAGACTGCGGAGAACGTATCAATCTAGAATTAAGTGACAAATTTTCTTATATAGTTATCGTTATAATTGTTTTAGGTCCAGTTCTACCGATATAAGATTAACTTTAATCTCGGTTTATCTTTTATTATTTATGTTTTTCTAATTCTCAAAATTAAAAAAAGATAAAGAGTAAATCGAGATTAAAATTAATCTTACATTGGTGAAAGCGTCAGTTGCACATACCTCAATAATTCCGTGACATCGTCCGAAATTAATTGCAACTTTCGTAATTTTGTTAAAGCGCTCTCCATCTCTCGTTTAACGTTCTTTTCTTGATTAAGATCAATCATTTCTGCTTTGATAGCATCGATTTCATTTATGAGATCAATCAGCTCGGAGCTCCTTTTCGTATCTAACAGAATTATCTTCGGTTTAACGCGCACGTGCGAGTGAAAGAATCTGAACCCTTTAAGAGTAACCCCGACCGTACTAATAAGTGATTAATTTAATCGGTAACATTAACTTAGCAAATAATACTGTTTCGTTAAAATGGATAGAATTATCATCTTTTTTGTTTAATATATGAAAAAAAAGATTAAAATCGGGACAATGAATCGTATAGTTGCATGAATATTGTATTTTAAATAGATAATTCTGCCTATTATAATTTAATTCTCGATTAACTTAATAGTTAATTGACTTATCAAATAATTATATTATATTGTTGTACATTTTATTAATATGCATAGAACTATTAATTTTTTGTTTTTTAATATATAGAAAAAAGACCGGATCAAGAAATTATATCAAAATTTATGTTAAATAATTCCACACTGAGAAAAAAGTTTTGTTGATATATGACCAACAAAAAGTTTTTCGTTGTCCTAACCAAAATTTGGTTATTCTAACCAAATTTTTGGTTAGGACAACAAAGTTTTTGTTAGAATATGTGACTAATAAAAACTTTTATGTTATTCTAACAAAAAATTTTGTTAGCATAACTAAATTTTGGTTAGGACAACGAAAAACTTTTTGTTGGTCATATATCAACAAAACTTTTTTCTGAGTGACTGGTTGAATGAATTGTCAAAGTAATCAAAGTTCGGTCAAAGTTGCTATAATTTTTAATCTTTGTATGATCCCACCATCTTTACAGTTACTCCTTGGTTTTGCACAATTTGTAACAAAAGGATGATATTGAAAGATAACAGAAAAATCATGTTCATGTGAAAATCGCCATATCTGTTCGCATAATGAGTCTTCCAGCGACCACACTTGATAATTTAATTTATCCTGAATTAAAAGACAAAAAAATATCTCGTGCATTTAATGCAATTAAGAGATGAGTCACGATTTAGCGATTTAAATTAGACATATTCCAATAATTAAATTAATGATACGCAACTTGCGGCTCTCCCAGGTTGTATACAGCCCATTTGTGAACTGTTTTTTGCGCCGGCTCATTGCCAAAAATATAAAATCATACTTTCTATTTTGCGCAAACAAAATAAACATTATGCGAATCGAAAGATTTTGTCTATTTTAAAAAATAGCCTTTCGAAAATAATCCTTAAAAAAGGTTGCGCATCATAAATGATCGATTATTAATTGATCATCTTAATTTGGTAAAAATCAATTATTTAATTAAATAACTATTATAATAACTGTAATTATATAATTTAAATTTATATTTAATTCATATTTAATTTATATTCAAAACTTCATATTTAAGTTTATACAACTAATATCTTATATAAATTAATGCAAATAATTTCTGCAAATATTTAAAGAAAAATTTAAAGTTATTTATAGGCAGAATTTTATTAATTGGTTTATCACCAGCTCTTGTTTTTCTTCCTCCAGTATCTTTTTCTTCTCCAGAAAGCTATCTCGATACATACTTATTGCGTCCTTTGTAATTCTCAATTCTACATATTTATTTCCGTATGCGATTAGAAAAGGATCAGGAACAAGATTTTTCGTATTGCTCGAAGCATCGTTCTCGGAATCAATCATCCTTGTCGTTTGCTAAATCAAAGTAAAATGAAATTATCTAAAATTATAGCTGCATATATCATCAAAGTCGTTCTTTGTTCTCAAGCAAGAGTTTGGACCTCGCTTAGATACTTTCTGGTTCAAAATTATTTTTTAATAACTACAAAGAAATTTATATTTTATTATTATTTTTAAATATATTTTTATTATTATTATAGCAATAATATTTATACATATAAACTTTAAATTAAATTAAATCAGTTTTATATTAATAAATTGTACGTGTACACGATAAACTGATTAATTTAAACATTTTAATAAAAAATACTGCAGTTAATTAAAAATACGTCTAAATTCTTACTTGAAGAATTTTAAGTTTTTTTCGACCAACGAACTTGCAACGTGGACAGTCAAATTAGAAAATTGATTGTATTTTGAAATGAGATAAAAATTATAAAAATGATTTAAAAAATTCACTAGAATATTTATAACTTCATTGGTCAACACCTAGTAAATTTGCTCACTTTTGTAATTTTCACACGATACACAATCGACTCTCAATTGTTCTCAATTGTCGAGTCGAATCGACGAATGAGAAACCGTTGTGTCTCTCGAGTTTCGACGCGCATTGAAAGCCGTACATAAACTTTTCGGCACGTAAACAAACTTCAAAACACGCGAGTGCAAATATGATAAAACGTGATCGTATGTTCTAGATCTTTTATTCGGACATTATACGATTATTGAAGGTTATACGCACAAGACGAAAACCAACCTCATGAATTGGAACGGGATGAAGCTGTTGAAGAAACCGTAAGTTTATATTTACACGAGATCGAAGATTCCATGTAACCTTGAAATATTTATGAGTCAACGACGGCGAGTCCAATACGCCAAGATAAGGCGGGAACGAATGATATCGTTGTATAGCAATTCCTCTAATTTCTATTTTTGTATTTGTAGCGATCCGCGACCTGCATATCCCCAGGGAGTGCGATGCCAAAAGTGTCTGGAGATGGGACACTGGAGTTACGAGTGCAAAGGCAAGAGGAAATACCTACATAGATCTTCTCGCACTTCGCAGCTGAAGAAAGCTATACAAAAGCAAGAGAACGGTGATGAGTATGTCGTTTAAGTTCCTCCATTATATATATATATATATATACACACACACACACAGATTGTTTCTTATTGAATCAACACCTAATAAATTTCCTTTAGACTTTAGAACAAGGAAATATATTTCTCGACTTATCGAGGATGTTTAGTAAACTAGATTATTTTAGGCAATAATGTTTGTTCTTCATGAAGGATATATAAACCAAGAGAATATATCAGATATTTTTTTAAATTTTTATCTTGATACGAGATAAAATATCTATAGTTGGGATAAAGAACGTTTTCCAGCAAAGATAATTGACACAAAGAGATATCACTTTGTGGGTGGATTTATAAGAAATTTATATGAATCACGTCATCCTTTAATATTAATAAATAACCAAGATACAACGATTCTATATTATATTAGGCCTGTTCTTTTTAATTAAACTTTTTGCATCACTTTTCTCTTTTTTTTTCTCCGACATGGAGAGAAAAAGAAGAAAGATAAACCTTGCAAATAAATTATTACGTCCTTGTTATTAATGTTAAATAAGGATGAAATGATTTACTGTGTCATCTGTGTTTTACTGAAAAACATTCAAATTGAAGAGGATCTTAATGTATTATTGTGTCATGCTTTAGTCAAGAGCAAGAAAAAGAAGCAAAGCATTACAACAGCAAGAAAATGAGGAAGGAGGATTCCAGCAATTCAAGCGACTGGAGCAGCAGTTGTAGCACCTCCAGCAGCGATAGCAGCATAAGTTCTAGTAGTAGTAGTAGTAGTAGCAGTAGTTCCTCGGATAGTGAATCTGATTCTAGCGATAGTGTGTCTAGTAGCAGTAATAGCAGTACTACTAGTAGTAGCAACAGCAGTCACGGTTCCTACAAAAAGAAATAACACAGATGCTATTGCATAAAGTGAGAAGTCGAGAAGAAATTTCTTTTCGACTGTTTCTGGCTTTTGACAAAATATCATTGTTCTATCCGAGTACAATGCCATTTTGCCTTTAAGCTAAATAACTCGAGAGGAAAGAGCAAGTTGAATTTCGCGACAAAATTCTTTATGCCTTTTGTACAGTGACAAATATTTTTATTTTAACATAGATGTTTGCTTAAAACAAAAATTTCAATAATAAATTAATCTTTTTCTTTAATTTTGTGATCTAATCACACGTTAAGATGATTCATTATATTTCTGCTATTTAGCTTTTCTATGACATGTATAATTTGTTATATTTCTACTATTTAGTTTTCTATGATATATAGTACATATACATGTGATCATTTAATTTTGTTCACCAAATGGTTGAATAAGAATAATGTATCATACATATCATGCGTGAAACAGAATACAACCTATATCTTATTATATGAGAACATTTTCTTTTTGCCATTATTTGCGAGAATTGTGTTAATAACAACTGTCATTTCTTTTATAAGGGCTTTAAAATGTTTTATATTAAATATAAATGTGAAATCAATTGCTAGTTGTTGTATAGAATTGATATTTAAATAGAATGTATTAGTTTTGTACTGTTGTACGCACATAGATATATGATAGAAAAAACTGTTTGATTTGTTAGAAATGTATTATATTTAATGACAAATCACAATAATTAAATTTATATAATGAGATATTTAATAATAGTATTACAAATGTTAATGAGCGTTCTATCAGACATTTCAACATTAATGTATTGATATAAAAATTTTATGTGTGGGATAGAAAAAAAATCGCTGTTTTGTTACATATAATTTAAATATATGTGCACAAAAATACAACGCCGCTTTTCTCCGGATTAATCTTCAATATCTTCGGGCAGAGTCTGTATTATTACTTTTCTTCTTCGCTCATAAATAAAATTATTTGTCTTGAATATGTCACTCTCGTAGAACGGATGTAAATTATGTATGTCAATTTGTTTCGCCTGCAATCAAAACACTGATGTTAGTATAAAATGCGCTTGACTTCCCACAGACACGTAAAAAATGAATGAAAGTTGTCATGTAAACCTTTATAAATAATGTAAGATAATATTCTTATATGTAAACTATTTTTTTAAACTAATTAGGACAAGATAAAGTTTTTTTAGCCCAAACCATTTTGATTTTCTAATTAAGTGTAATTATATTTGTTAATTTTTTCCTCCTTTTTTTCCTTTCTCATTTCTGCGCGAACGTATTAAATTTAATATAATAATATAATTTGCATTACCCGATCCAACAAATCCTTTTCAGAGATCTCGACGGTCGTGATACGTCCGCCGTGCAAAGCTTTTTGAAATGCCAAAGTATCTAAAGTGATTTGTCGCAGTATGTAATATAAAAGTTCGCTGTGATCTTTCTTATACGATAGGTATTTCTGGAACGTCTGTAACGAGATATGCACGCGTTAAAATAGAAAGTAAAAATAAACATAGATTGAAAACGCAAACGAACAAATAGGAATTAAGAGATACCTGACGCATAGATTTCATAACGGAATATTTCTGCGTATCGACAAAACTATCGAGAACCATCCTGATGGCTAGGTTCATATCACTCTCCTGAACATGATCCCTCAGATGCATCTTGGCACTAGCCTCCGCCATACGAATAATGCTTTCTATGTGGCGGACGGTGATTGGCAAACTCCCAGTCGCCTAAAATGTGATAATCAAAAACAATCATAAAGCGATGCATCAAAATCTTTTTTACATTTAATAATACTTAATATTTTTTTATTAATTTTCTAAGATTATATATGAACAGAGAGAGAGAGAGAGAGATATTCTTTCCTCTGTTTTACTAACTCACCAAACTTTCCTGTCTCAACTGGCTATACAATTTCGCCACTTTGTCTTGATCGATGCTGGTCAGCTTCGGGTGTACATTCTGCTTCGCGTAAACGATATACTTTTTTAAAAGATCTTGGGGAATGCATAGATTTTGCGTGGCAGGATCCAATATTACAGCTTGCGTTCTCTCTGTTCTCTCTGAACTATCTGTCGGGTGATGCTTGATGTGCGAATTTACGACAAATTTGGCCAGATGACGATCTTGCATGGGATCAACCTCATCCTTGACTATACACAATACATCAAATCGCGAAAGAATCGGTTCCGATAGGTCCACCTATATACAATTTAATACATAACATATATAATTATCATTTGATCCCACATGTTTGTACAAATTTTATATATATATAACATATATTTTACAATTTAATTTACAAATTACAATTTTGTGCAATCGCAAATTAAAAAATGCTAAAAGTACATACATTTTCCGCAAAGGTCATACTGGGATCGTATCGACCGCCGATGGGATTAGACGCCGCTATCACTGCGCATCTGGCGTGAAGAGATGTAACGATACCGGCCTTCGAAATAGAAATACTTTGTTGCTCCATAGCTTCATGGATAGACGTTCTGTCCTGATCATTCATCTAGAAAAAATTTGTGTTGTTTCTAATAACTATATTCAAATTTTGTAATAAAAATTATACAGATTTAAACATAATTTTGATACTACATATATATAAATAGTCTATATATTAATATAAAAATTATAAATATTAACTTCTCTCTCCTTTTCTCTCTCTATAACAGTCGTTATTGATAACATAAAAAAGTATGATATTTTTATAGATATTTACGTAATCAATGAGTTATTAGTCGCATATAAATTATATAAATTTATACTTTGTCGAACTCATCGATAAGGCATATTCCATGATCGGCGAGAACCAAAGCCCCAGCTTCCAAGGTCCATTCTCTGTTGATAGGTGATCTCCTAACGTAAGCAGTCAAACCAACAGCCGAAGCACCCTGACCTGTAGTGAAGACAACTCTCGGTGCCACTTTCTCCACGTATTTCAAAAATTGTGACTTGGCGGTGCCAGGATCTCCGCATAGTAGGACGTTTATATCACCGCGAACTTTGTGCTTGTTGCCTGCATGTTGCAATATGATGCAAATAAGAAGATGTATAGAAGACTGATAGGATGATTCAAAGAAGAAATAAATACCAGGATTCTTCGGCTCGCCACCAAATATTGCCAGGGCTAAAGCTCTCTTTATGTTTTCATGGCCGTAAATCGAAGGCGCGATACTCGCGACTATACGATCCGCGATGCGCTGATCTTTACTTAGAGCGAGTATACTCGAGATGTCCTCTTCCGTCAGCGAATCTACGATTTCTTTCGAATCTTTGACAAATAAATGATTGGCTAATAGAACTGTGGAGAATACTGGAAAGCCCTGTAATACAAAATACAATGGATATAATCTTATCCCTGTAAAAAGTTACTCTTCTGAGAAAAAACTTGTGGAATAGATAAATGTAATATAAAAAAACGTAATTAATATATGCAACAAAAATTTAATCCCACCTGTTCAGTGTTCAAAGAACCATCATAATTATTAGTATAAATAGCTGTGACGTCTATTTCGTCCCCTGGTTTGCAACGATCACACAGGTCAGATAACAGAATGCAATCTTTGCTACGCGGTATTCTGCCAGCGGGTATTCTACCCGGGGATTCTTGTATCGTTATTTTTTGATAATTTCTATATATAGTTTGCTCCATATTGATCTGATACATGCGATATATTGTACATAAGTAAATGTGATAATTTTAAAATTAGCTGTAGCAATCGAACGTAAAATTCTTTGACTTACTGTGAATGGACCGGCACTCTGACATTCGGGACAAGAGCCTGGTTTAACTTCTGTGTTTTGAGATTGGACAAACGGTCCAAGAATGTAGTTACATTTTGTACAGTCGTACTTCACCACCGACAATTGCGGCAGGACTCCCGTAGTTGCCGTTACCACTCCAAGAGTTCGAACCAATTGATTCAAGTGGAGTTTTCTGTTGTAACAAAGTAAAAGCGACATAATTTTATACATATTCTATTTGTATTGTTGAGTAAAATATAACATTAATTAGATGATGCACATAACATATTTTTACCTGAACGTGCGTAATTCTTCGATCAACGGCAATTCCGATATTCTCACGTGAATCTCCGACGTGACTCTCTCGTAACTGGGAAAAATCGTAAGCACCAATTCCTTCGCCACTTCATCAAATATCTCGAGCATTTGATATGGCGCTTCTGGTAAAAAATAGGCCAAAACATGTTCCTTACTGGCGAGAATAGGAAATTCCACTATGAAACTGGACTATTAAAATAAACATAAAGACCTCCATAAAATAAAAACTTAAATAAAAAAATAAATATATACACTAAAATAAAAACATTTTATTTTATTAGAAATACAAAATTAATTAATTAAAAATGTTGATGACTCAATAGAATATATCAATATATTCAACAAAATTTTATTTGTATAACTATAAAAGATTGCTATACAAGGTATAAAATAAAATATTCTATAATCCCAAATATTATAAAAAAAATATATAAAAAGGTATTTTTTAAATTAAAGTTTAAATTACATTAGAATTATGTAAGAAATTCGATATACCTGATTGCTCTCACACATATGGCGAATACGTTCTTTATACATATATTGTCCCTTGGAATTTGTATGAGTGCGAAGAAAGCTTTTAAAGCGGTTCGAAATTTCTGTTCGTGGTCCTAACATCATAACCCATTCCTTTACTGAATGTCCTTTGGTATCCTCTAAATTTTCAATGGATTCAATCATCTGAAATAATCAATAAGTTCATTATTTAAATTATAGATACTTTTTTTTACATAAAAATTGAAATGATCTTACTTCTGCATCCTCCAGTATGCCAGTAGCAGCCTTTTCAGCCATACGTCGTTTACGTGCTTGTACATCTTCTTCATCAGTTTCATCTAAAAGTACAAAGGAAAATATTTATATAAAGATATTTAATTTTATAAGTACACTTTTGAAACTTTAGAGATCAATGTAATACAAAATTAATTCAGTATATTTGTTGTTTTATCTTTAGATATCAGTAAGTAATGAAACAAAATTACCATAAAGAAGATCACGATCATCCCTTATGATGCCAGCCGCACGATCTCTTTTTCGCATTTCCGTTTCCGCGGCTAAACGTTCGCCCTGAGACATTTCTGAGTATTCTTCGTCAT